TTTTCCAATCAGAATGGGGATGCTAATTTATCCTCCTTAATGTGTGATGGTAAGAGACTCCTTCAATTAACTGAATTCTATAGCCTGCAAAATAAAAGGGTATACAAAGAGGCGCAGGCTGGAAGAGCTGAAATTCTCATTAAATCAAAAGGTCCAGTATTCATTACCTCGTGCATCTGAGGCTAAACACTAAATATGGGGATCATCAAAGGAGGTTTAATGGGTTAAATTGAGAATATAATCTAATTAAAATATTAGACATGGCTAAATAGTTCTTTGATATTCATCTAAAGGATTCATTAAAAATAGGTGCTTGAGGTTTGTGTGATTGGAGATTATCAATTTTAAGTAGAGACAACAAATTTGGGGACCTCATCAGCACTGCTTCAATGTCCCCATTGTGTGGAGGCAGGGTACTGGGAAAGACCTCCCTGCCAGGTGATGGGTTGGAAATATGGGGTAGGGCCACCCAGGCTTCATGACAGTGACTTTGGTAGTTGTCCGGATGGCAAAAAAAAGAAAGTGTAAGATAAATTTGGGAGACCCATTTGCCGCAGAGGAAAGAGTACGTTTGGGGCCCACATTACTTAGCTATGTTCTCTACAGAGAGAGCTATATTGATTTTATTCAATAATAGATATATTATTGAATATATACGGATATTGTTATCTACTTCCTTCTATGTAGACAGCTTCTGAAGGAATAACTGATCACACTTTTTGGATTTTAAATATCTGAAGATTATTTTCCCTACTGTTAAATTTGTATCATATGGATATCTACTATTTAAATATCTCTTGCTAAAGTATGGGACCTTGAGAAGCTGGTCTAGCAGTCCCAGTATTGGGGCTGGTCTCAGGGACGAGCTGTCAACTCAGTAAAGGATATTTATGAAATCATCCCGTATCTCCAAGGCTTCACTAAATATATTTGCCTGAAATGTTCATATCATTGTAATCCTCTCAACCTATTAGAGTTATTTAAGAGTGGAAGACCGTTTTCTCAGTTTATTGAAAATTAATTACTTACATTGCTCAGGTTTGCCAGGGAAAATGAAAAGGCAGTGGAGAGGTAGTGAGGGAGATTCGTCCTGCCAACCAAATTCTTTTCTCCTCCCCTCATGTTACCCAAAGAGCCCTCCCTGTATTGAGGGTTAGAGAGAACTGAAAAATCTATTTATTGTGCCTCTTCATCTTGCGATGTGGCGTTTCCACAACATGTTGGGAATGCCCCAACATCCCAGTTATTTCACTGAGCTAAAACTTAAGTAACTGAACATGAAGAATGGAATTTTTAAGACCGGAGAATAAAATTAATGAATGAAAACTGCCATCTAAAAACCTTTTGCTTTCCATTGACCAGATGTTTGCCTAGAAAATGGAGGTGTTATGTTTTCTCAGTACCTTTGTGAAAAGATGTGTGGTTTTGCTCAACAAAGCTAAAGGAAGAGCAGAAACAAATATTGTACTTAGTCTGGAGGCAGTGGGGTGAGGGAACCATTTTGGATCTATATTTTAAGTATGCTCTAGGCCCAATGTGGGGCTTGAACTCATGACCCCAAGATTGAGAGTTACATGCTCTACTTACTGACCGAGCCAGCCAGGCACCCCAAGGGAACAAAACATTTTTTTGAATTTGATTTTGAATATTAGATTTTAGCTACTCTGGAATCCTACTTCAATGTATTTTAAAGAATGGAATATCTAAATTATTATAATACATATTTCTCCTTTATAGTGTCTTTATAGTATAGAAATTTGGTCTGACAATATAGACAACTCCTTAGAGTCAGGGATAAAGGGGGAGTGAGACACTCTGGATAAACAAAATCCACAATAATTAACAATTTTACTTGTTTAAAACCCTTCCCTCACTGGGAAAACAACTAAAGAAGTAAATGGAGTATTCGTGTATCTTTTTGTCTCTGTTTACATTAGGAATAGAAATTATGAAAACACACTTAGAGTTAGGGAAGAGAAGTCCTGTCATCATCCCATGAATACTTGAAAGTTGAATGAAATATGTATTATTCAGGAGTTATTCTTGTTCTAATAAAGTTATCTTAAAAAGGCATATTTAGAGGAGTAACTTTGATTTTTTTTCCTTAAGAATTTTATATTTTCAAGTGCTACTTTGAATATCATGGTAATCTAGTTTTCAAGAATATTTTGGAAATAATTAGCTAAATGTATCCTGATATCTTCAGACTATGACCCCAAATCTATTGATTTTGTGCTGTTTGTCAATAAGTAGTTAAAAAAGAACACCACCCCACCTCCTGAGTTTGCTATTGTAGACCATTTGCTATCAACTCAAAGTTCTCAATTAGCTCCAGTGTTGTTATAATTACTGGATGTGTTTTCAAACAACTCCCAGCTAATAACTGTTGGGATGAAGAGTCATTTTCTCACTGTAGACTAGACTGCACGCTTATGCTTGCTGTGAGGTTTTGACAATGATTCATTAACCAATAATAGGGCCCCAATTGGAACCATTAGCCATTGGTGTTTTGCTAGACTTACCCTTTATTTTAGTCCTCAATATTGTCTTTTCTTGGTCTGGTTTCTAGATAACTCCCAAGAGACTCCTTAATATACAAAATAACATCATGAAGACAGCTGTCATTAAATTCAGCTACTTGGAACAAAGCTTCCTCTTAAGAGGATGCTCTCCTTGGAAATTCAAGATGGAAAAACATCATAAAGAGGAATCTATAATAAGAGAGAATATGTGGTTTAAAGGTCCTTTATTTACACCATTTCATAGAGATGAGGCAGATCAGGCCCTGTGCCTTTCAGTGGGCACATATAACATCTGGTCAAATACAGGCCCTCCATCATTCTGTCACTCAAGTTTAAAGTCCCTTGTTTTCTAATAGGCAGATTGTTTTTACTTCTTAAATATCTGAAGCAGAAATATTGTAAAAATTGATCACTGATCCACTTGGGTCTATAGAAGATCAATATTGTTGCCATTAATTTTGAGGAGGAGCAAAGAAGTTATTTGTCATTCACTGTTTCTGCAGAATCTCTTTGCTTAGTATCATGATAGCTTCCGTGATCTGCTAGATCTTACCAGGTGGGCCCAGACAGTGGCCTATTTTGGTTCATCCTTTGATCTCAACCCCCAGCTTTTAGCAAATATGTTCTATTTCTGTAGCCACAGCCCTTTTAGATGCCACTTGTCACTTTCAATATTTGTGTGCAAAGAATTGTGATGTTCTAGGGTTTATATACTGGATGATACAGACTTGCCTTGGAAGTAAAGATTCTTCGAAATGTTTGCCGTAGACTGAATTGTGCTACCTGCTTCAACTAAGTGTGACTCTTGATAATGAGTGAAGGGATTGAAGGATTTAACAGCGCTTAGCTACCAGAGAAATGGTTAGGAGGAGGGTTTTAAATGCTCAAAATTGAAATAGTGTCTTTTATGAGTTAACATCTGAGTTAATTTATGTGTGTCTCTTTCAACTTTAACAATGTAGTTACGAAGTTGCCAGATTGTATGTGTTAAAATATGATCAGGTATGTAGTAATGCATATTTCTAAAAATGAAACGAGAGTTCATGTCCAAAACTGAAGTTCATAATAACTACGTGCTCCTTGCCCGCACAGAAAACAGGAACAACCCCTTCCTACAAACAAATAATCAAATAGCATTGTCCTAGGTGTTGAAAGACTGAAGTTTAGACCTGGCTACTCCATCTCCCATTATTATCAGTTGGACTGACAGATGTCAAGAGTCATTAACCCTACCTTGATCTCCATTTCCTCTTCTGAAAAATTAGTAGGTGAACAAGATAAGCCCGTCCCAAGCTCTGAATTCTTTTAAGGTACTCTAATAGAAATGAAATATTTTAAAAATTTGCTCTGTCCCTTTAAATTTAGAAATGTCTCTATATGCGTTATTTAATCTTCCAGAGTAAGTTTAGGGCCGTTCAGAAAAAAATCTTAATTCTTAAGTTTCTAGAAAAGTCTTCACCATGTACCATGAAGTGTCCTCTTCTTTTATGAATGTATCTTAGGAGCAGTTTAGGCTATGATTTTCCCCCAAAATGCTTCACATATGATATAATTGTCAAAATACCACTGAAACGTGATTTGTCAGTTTACTATTTATCTTCGGATATGTGTAATTTTTCCAGACTTCCCATTCTAATTGCTTTCAGTTTTAAGAGCAAATCATATACAGGTGGATTTTATACCACAGGATGGTTTATGTAAAATGTTTGTAACAAAGGAATAACTCTCCAAAGCTAGTTCTTATTGCCACCTGTATACATAAACAGATTTTCCCTTAAATTACTGTTAAAATTGCCCATTTCCAGATATGACTATCAAAGAACGCAATGCCCATCTAATACAAGCACGTAAGAGAAAATTAAATTCTTCCATAATTATTTTAAGACCCAATAATTTTATTTAGTTATCACTTGATAATGTTTATTCAGTTTCAAAAGATAAAAAGTAAATAATATTTATTAATATTGACAGCGTGAAATATGGAATGCTTTCTCCTCTTACCTAACATTTGTGTGTATGTGTGTGTGTGTGTGTGTGTGTGTGTGTGTGTGTATAAAAGCACAGATGTAACATTTTTAAGTGTTTGTGATGGCAAGATGCCTGGCATATTCACGCACTTGGAGCAAGTAGCTTTGAGAAAGTTTATCGCTCAGAGTTGCCTGAATGGATGTTTCTGGACTTGTTGGATTTCTAATTTATGTCTCGATGCTCTGTTAGGAGAACATTGGGGTATTTTATTTTATTTTTAAATTTAGAGACTTTAGAACTATTTGGGAAACAGCATCTCCAAATGTACTGGCAGTTAGTCCAATTTACATTCATTTTATTTGAAACTGAAGTGTTTATACTTTTTTCTTATCAGGAGGGTAAGAGAGAAGCAGAAGTTAGATACTTTTTTTTTTTTTTTGCTGGGTCACTTCAAGGTTTTCATTATGCAAAGAAGGGTAGGGATTTTTTAAGAAATTAAAAGATCCACTATGAAACTAAAAGCCTTTATTCCCCCGTTCTTATTCAACCCCAAATTCTGATTTGAAAGTAAATAATAAAAAAATCTTCCTAGAAAGTAAAATACAGCTCCATAATGTAATAAGGCCCCATATTTTAAATCCTGTACAAAGCAAACATGGGCTGTGGCTAGAGGACAGAGGATCATCCCTCTCTGCAGACAGGTTGGTTGGAGTTTTTTCTCCATGTCCAGTCCCCCGGCATTTTTGGTCTCCGACAAATGTGCTGTCTACACAATGTGAAGGACTTTGAAAGCAGCCACAGCCTGTTTTTCCCTTTCGTGTCTGTTCTGCAGTATTTCCAGCAGTGAGATTTCAGGCAGAGCATCTTCTTTTCGAGTATAGGTGGGATTTTTCTTTTCCTTTAATACTTGGCCAGTCAGATTTGAAGGTTTGGGTTTGGGGATGGTCTTGGCATATTCCAAAGCCTGAAAGCATGAAGATAAAGTTTCATTTGAAATGGGAAGTGACCCCTGGATTCCTTAAATGAAATCAAGTCTTAGGACATGTTTACTGGTAATACGAATAGACACTATTGCTACCATAAGGTACTGAGATGTGGATGGGAATGGAGAGCAGATGGGAAATGCAAGTCCTGCAATATAACGCACAGTTTCAATGAAGTAAGTTAGCCATACAACAGTTTGCTATGAAAAAGAGCTGGAAAATGAAACAGAGTTGTGCCTTGGGGTGTTTTCTTTATAAAACGGAGTTTTATTCAAAGTGTTTGAAAATAGATTTCTCATGTATGGCTCTATTTAGCTTCTGGTGGTCTTATTAAAACCAAACTTCTAGTAAGGAGATATTAACAGACCTTTCCATTGAAAGTGGACTTGCTACAGCTTGAAACCAAAGACATCACTGTAGTTGACAAAATTGAGCTTCCATTATTACATCAACTATTCTTGTTCCCAGGCTCTTGGAACTCTAGCAACTACTTATTAGTGGTTGGAAATTATTCTTTTCTTTTGTATATCCATAGAAGCCTGGAGACTGGAAAAAGCAGTCTTTTTTCAATGATGTTAGTTCCAAAAGGCACTACAATAAAAATGAGATCACTAAATATGATTTCTAAATCTGTCTTTATATCAATTTTATATTTTAATAAGTTTGATAGCTGAAATAGGAGTAGATAGTATATTCAGGTGCTGGAAGGGAAAAAAAATGTCCAAACTTCTCAGTGTGTGTAGGTGACTTCTGTAGGAATTTCTAATTACAGACTTGTTGTCTTGAATCTCTTCATGGAAAAAATAATGGATTGGAGAAAAAAGAAAAAGTGGCACCATGGAAACTCAATCAAGTGGACTGAGGTCTTCAAGGTCCGAGGAAGAAAGGCAATAAATAGAAAATAGGATGGTCTGTGAGAGAGAACATGAAGTACAAATTCCTAAAAGCACCAAAGGGTCACTTGTCCCTCATGCAAAGGGTCCCATGTTCTTCTTGGGACTGAGACAGAGACTTTGCAAGCCTCGGTGTCTCTGCTGAACGTACGTCATTCACATCCTGACTTATAGTTGGATGACCTCTGAGAGGGAGAACATTCTGTATTTTATGAAATAATTTTTCATGGCTAGACGGACCTATATATTATAGTCCCTTGGGAAAAATCTAGGGAAAAGAACTTGAGAGAAACAATGAAGGACTTTTCTTTGACATATGTAGTCATAAATGGCAAGAAGACACTAATCCCTTAAAATTTAATGGTAAGGAAGGAAATTGAGAGGATTTATCAGGATTGCTAGTTTCTTCTAAGAAATCACCTTACTATTCAATTAAAAAAATTTTTTTTGAGTATAGTTGACAAACTGTTACTTTGGTTTCAGGTGTACAACTTAGTGATTCAACTTCTATATCCTCTGTCATCACGCAACACTCTTACAGTATCATTGACTATATTCCCTGCGCTGTGCCATTCATGCTCATGATCTACTCATTTCAGAGAGATAATCTCTCTCCCCTTCATACATTTTGCCCATCACCCCACCACCTCCCCTCTGGCCACCATCAATTTGTTCTCTGTAGTTATAGGTTGGATTCTGCTTCTTGTTTTGCTTATTTGGTTTTCAGAGTCCACATAGGAGTGAAATTTATGGTGTTTATCTTTCTCAGTTCTGACTTATTTCACTTAGCATAATATCCTCTAGGTCCATCCATGTTGTCACAGATGGCACCATCTCATCCTTTTTAAAAAATTCCTTAAAAATTTATTTCTATTTAAAGATTTTATTTTTTTATGAAAGAGAGATTGAGAGAACTAGTGGGAGGAGGGGCAGAGGGAGAAGCAGACTCCCTGCAGAGCAGAGAGCCCGATGCGGGACTTGATCTAGGACCCCGGGATCATGACCTGAAAGGAAGGCAGATGCTCAACTGACTGAGCCACCCAGGCGCCCTCATCCTTTTTTTAAGGCTGTGTAATATGTTTCTCTGTGTGTGTGTGTGTACATGTACACACCACATCTTATCCATTCTTCTACAGATGGACACTTGGGCTGCTTCCATATCTTGGCTAAATAATGCTGCAATAAACATATGTGTGCATATATCTTTTCAAATTAGTATTTTTGTATTCTTTGGGTAAATAATCAGTAGTGGAATATATTGGATTATATGGTAGTTCTTTTTTTTTTTTTTAAGATTTTACTTATTTGCCAGTCAGAGTGTGAGAGAGTGCACAAGCAGGGGGAGTGGCAGGCAGAGGGAGAAGCAGACTCCCTGCTCAGTAGGGAGCCCGATGCAGGGCTCGATCCCAGGACTCTGGGATCATGACTTGAGGTGAAGACAGACGCTTCACCTACTGAGCCACCCAGGCGACCCATCATATGGTAGTTCTATTCTTAAATTTTGAGGAACTTCCATACTGTTTTCCACAGTGGCTGCACCAGTTTACATTCCCACCAACAGTGCCTGAGGATTCCTTTTTCTCCACATTCATTATTTCTTGTCTTTTTTGATTCTAGCCATCTGACCAGGTGTAAGGTGATCTCATTGTGGTTCTGATTTGCATTTCCCTGATGATGAGTGATGTTGAGTGTCCTTTCCTGTCTGCTGGCCTTACTGTTCATTTTTATGTGTGTCAAATTTGAAATACAAGAAGAAAACATGTGGGGGACTAAAGACCATGATGAACTTCAGGCTAACCTTACCAGCATCATTTGTGTACCTCTTATTTGTGTATCAGTATCTGTGAATGATGGGTAGCCACAGGAATGGCAGCAGCTAAGACATCTCCTGGGTTCAAAAAACACGGGGAATTTGCTCAGCGGTAACAAAGGTTTCCTTTTAATTCTAATTGAAAAGCTAACTGCCTTGGTGGGGATTTCTTACCTTCTGCCGAGGGATGGCAGATTGACTTTCAGTTTTCACTGTTTGTGGTTTTGACAGAATGGATAGGGTCTTCATGTTATACTCCTTAACTTGTTTCGCGTATTCCTTTTTTTGGATTAATTTCTGCCTCTGTTCAGAGAAACCAGGTTACGACAGTGCACAGGTCCTGCTAGATCTCTCTGTTCTCTCTTTAAAAGCGGCACTCATTTTAGCCAGCTGGGTATATTGTACCAGCAGCAGAGAGGAAATGGGGTTAGCACGCGTAAGGCAACAGCAGTGAGATAGTTAATGTTTCTCCTAGAAACCGTCTCTTTCTGAGGGGCGACATCACTGCCGTAGCACACCCAGTATTCCCTTAACAGGGTCTAAATCACATTCTGCTCCTTCTTTGTTGCATTTACCCAATTTATTTTCATTTTGGCTTCCAACTTTGAACTATACTCTCTTTTTATGCCTTGAGTGCAACTGTAGTTAAAACACATTAAATGGAGATCTTCTTTCACTAGAGGAAAGGAAATAAAGTGGATGCACTTTTCAGGGGTTGGGAAACTCTTATCCTAAGTGTCTTCTCTGTAGCCACTCTTCAAAATTACCAACATCACTCTATTGGGAAAGACCAATGACCATATAACACACACATCTCTTTTCATGTGCACGTGGCCCCCTTTTCTGTGCAGGCCTTCAAGACTAACTAAAAGGTAGATACATAAAACAACATTGGCTAGGTAATTTTATCTTATGGTAAAAGGAGTATCTGGGTCTCTATTACTAATGCTATTTCACAAGGGTCTCTATTCAGATGGAGACATTTGGATTAGGACTTGGTTCTGGGGGTGGGTGGGAGACATGTCTGTACAGTTCTGCTAATACAAATCCAAGTGGGGCAAATCCAAGCCTACAAAATGTTGTATGTCCATCACACTCACTTTGTCTCTGATGGATTCAAGGTCAGGTCCAAGGCCTCCAAGCTTCACGTCTCTTTTCTGATAACCTTTCAGCTTGGAGCTCTAGAAATACAAAGAGACAGCTTCTTGTAAGGAATTGTGCCCCACCCCCCGCCCCCAACTACGCTCTCATAGCCACATAAGGAAAAGAATGGAAGCTCGTGTGGACGGTTGGGAGAGTGGGTGCATTTCCTGACCCTTCTTCCACTCTAATGGCAGTTATTGATAATAGCTTCTTGGGTAATTTGTAGCTGGTCAGCTAACATGTTTTGACTTTTCCAACTTCTGCAACAACAAAAAAATTGGAATTCTGAAAATTATAAATAAAAATTTCCAAGTGCATAAAGAGCTGTTTTGTTATTAACGTTCTAAACAACATATACATCACCACTTTTTTGCTGCCATTACTATTACATCTGGTCTTGTACAGTTCACAAAACCAAATGATTTCTAAATCAGGTAAGCATTGCTTCAAAAGGAGAGTGCTCTGTCTAATGAGGTCCTAACATTCAAAAGACTGTAAATTTTTAAAAAATTTAAATTCAGTTAATTAACATAGAGTGTATTATTAATTTTGGAGGTAGAGTTCAGTGATTCATCAGTTGCATATAACACCCAGTGCTCATTCCATCACGTGCCCTCCTTCATGCCCATCCCCCAGTTACCCCATCCCCCACCCACCTCCCCTCCAACAACCCTCAGTTTGTTTCCTAGAGGTAAGTGTCTCTTGTGGTTTGTCTCCCTCTCTGATTAGGAAAAGACTAAATTTTTAAGGGTTAAGAGTCTTGGCAAGATCTGGGGCACCTGGGTGGCTCAGTTGGTTGTCTCCGACTCTTGATTTGGGCTCAGGTCATATGATCTCAGGGTTGTGAGATCAAGCCCTGCGTCAGGCTTCACATTCAGTGTGGAGTCTGCTTCTCTCTCTCTCCTGGCCTCTCCTTCTGCTCGTGCTCTCTCTCTCTCTCAAATAAATCTTTTTAAAAAAAGTCTAGGCAAGATCTACTGAGAAACTCCTTTTAGTCAATGAGGTTTTGAATATTTTGAAGGGCATAAGTAATTTTATATGACAACTCTTACTAGTATTGAATATTTAAAGGGACAGAGTAACATAATGAGGCAATTTAATTTTTGGATCATGACTCGAGCTCAGTAACAGGCAGGAAAAACACTAATGCTTTCCTGACCATAGGATAGATTAAGATATTCCCCAAACTGTTGCTTTTGATGTTAAAACTGACTTGCTACTTGGGGAAGATGCCCTTGTGGGGATACCAAATCCTTTGAGTTGTGAGTTCATTTGGTTTCCTTCCTTGGGAAGAATAGGAAGGACAACACCAAAGAGCTAGTGTGACAGTGATTCTATTTAGACAGACGAAGTCGGTGCTTAGAACAGAGAAAGAATAGCCATCCTGAAGAGGGGACAGGCAGCTCTGTACTAATTGTACATGGTACTACCTTGCTATATGAGAATGACAAAGCTCAGGATTTTTCTAAATTTTGAAAGTTCCTATAAATTATGTTAAATCCTAAGATATGCAGTATATCTAATGAGTTTTTTTTTTTAGATTTATTATTTGTCAGAGAGAGGGAGGGAGAGAGTGAGCACAAGCAGGGGAAGAGGCAGGCAGAGGGAGAGGGAGAAGCAGACTCCCCACTGAGCAGGGAGCCTGATGAGGGACTCAATCCCAGAACCCTGGGATCATGACCTGAGCCAAAGGCAGATGCTTAACCAACTGAGCCACCCAGCTGTCCCTCTAACGAGCTCTTAAAACAGAATTTAACAGATTGTCCAGAGACTTAAAAAAAAATTCTCATATTGGGTATAGTTACTACCTGTAACTTCCAAATCTTAAAAGTGTCCAATATACATTGTATCAATGGTTACAAGAATGTGTTCTACTCCCACTGGCCTATTGGCTGACTACCCATAGCTCATACCAGTTAGTTTCTCCTTGTCCTTCCCCACCATAGAGGCTTGGAGACAGGTACTCCTTTCCCCAGATCTGTAGCACTGAGCTCTGGCCCATGAGGAATAAATGCAAGTTGGCTAGGGTAGAGTTTGCATCTTAGTTTTCATTAAGGCTGGTGAGACCCCGCCCTTTCCTTTTCCTGCCTTGAATGTGGATATGACAGCTGGAGCTGCAGCAGCAATCTCGTCAGGAAAGGAACCAGAGAACCATTCAAATATTGGTTCTGCTGTTTTGAGCTGTGGACCACCAGTGCTAGTTACTGTCTATTTGTGGATTAACTGTAGGTGAGAAGAATGAGCTCATAATTTTGAAGTTGCTGTAAACAGTAATTGTGTGACTTGTAGCTGAAAGCAATATTTCTAGTATCTCAGTACTTCAGAGAGCCAGAATCCTGTATCTTTTAGGCAACATTTCTACGCTGCCAGGATTGAGTCCTGCAAATAGAATTTCCCTGATTAGAATTTTCAAAATTTATAGTCAAGTCTTTCATTATATCTAACTGTAAAACACAAGAGATGATTTTTTTTTAAAAAAGAGGTTGTTGGGCTAAAATCATTAAAAATATTAAAGTATAGAGAAAAAATATTTTTCATTAGAGGCTGTTCAAAATCCTAAATCTCCTTAGAGAAAAAATCACCTGGCAAAACCATTCCTGCTACTTCATACCCTTGACATCTACGTGTTCATATTTTCATAAAATTGCCAAGTGCTACAAATTAGTTTTTTTTCCACTAAGTATTTTAGCATTATGCTGTATTTCCCTGTCACTAAATATTTTTCAAAAATGTGACTTTCATACATAACATTCTAAATGTTGAACATTTAAGATGTCCTAGGGATGAGCATTGTTTGTGGGCTACTCTGATGATTGCTTTGAGATCTAAACTGAATAGAATTGGAATTACTGAGACAAAATCACAAACACACTTAAGGTCCTTAATGAACACTTCCATTAGCAGTGTGTAAGAATGCACTTTTTGTCCAAACCTTAATTTCACTGGGTATGACCACATTTTAACATCTCCCCTAATTATTAATAGGTGAATGAACTCCAGTATCTTGTACTTGGCAATTGCGAATTTGTTCTTTATTTTGGGCCTGGCATCTGTACTGCTGTTTTGCAATCGGTAAGTTACTTTCTGTTTGCCAAAGTAAACCAATAATGAAAAAGGAAGAGAGCCTTGCTCATCTCCAGGTCATAAATCCAATTTGTCCAGAACTGATGAGAAATGATCAGTGGCCAGAAATCACATACTTAGCGTGAAGCAGCTTAACTTTAATCATTGAGCTGACACAGAAGGTACAGTGTGAAGCACAAATAATTGCTCCCTGCACCCCCCCCATGTTGTCCCAGTTTTTACTAGCCCCTCCAATAATCAGAATAAACATCTTGATTATCGTAGGAAAACAGCAAAGGCAGTAGCATTAAATATTGACACAAAGTAAACAATGTGGTCCAAGGAGAGGGATGAGTATCCAAATGCTACTAACTCCTTCCAGCATGAGCTGCTTCTAGCAAAGAGACCTTTTCACAAGGGAGAGAGAGCATGGTTCCTAAGAGAGTTTGTTCTGGGTGACTGGCAATGAAAAATCTGGATTTACTTAAGTTTGCCTCAAGTAATCTTGACTGGCTCTCAGTGCTATAATTTCATTTGATCTCTTTCCATCAAAAGTCGTTTTTTTTTTTTTAACAGTTTTACTGAAATAGAATTCACACACCACAAAATTCACCCATTTGAAGTTGTACAATTCAGTGGTTTTTAGTGTATTCATCAAGTTGTGCAAACATTGCCATGATCTGATTTTAGAACATTTTCATCACCCTGAAAAGAAACCCCTGTACCCATTAGCAACCACTCCTCTGCCCCCGCACCAGCCCTAGGCAACCACTAATCTACTTTCTGCCTCTTCAAAAGGCTTTTATAGTAAAATAATCCTCAGAATTTACTTTGATTTAGTTCTCCTTGGCTGTTACAAGACTAAAAGTTCACAATAGCATGCTCCCCCTACCCTCCCCCCAAATTAAATCAACAGTGATAGTCCTGTTGGGTCTCTAAACACAGGAGGAAAAAATAATCCTGTTCTCCACAAACCCCTGATGGTGTTCATGGCTAGTCTTTGCAGGAGACCTGCACAACCTAACCTCCGCCATCCCTGGCCCCGGGCTGATGATTTCGAACACCACACTGAACTGGTGTTCATTGTTGATGGTCCCCTTGGCAGAGGACGGCCCCAGATTTTCCTGATGGCATGTTTCTGCCAGTAACTAATCCCACCTCTCAAGCTCGAGGAGTGACTTCTACTGTAAACGTGGGGCAAAGTGTGCCTGAACTGAAAATTGACCTTGACTCTCCTATGAGGACTTGTTTTCGACTCTGAAACGCCGTACCCTGCTGTGGGGGGACACGGCAGGGCTTTCCTCCAGAACATTCCTCAGATGTCTGAGTGTGAGAAAGTTACTCAAAAGCAGGGCAAAAAACAATGCCTCTGATAGTGGGGAACAGCAAGAGAAGGAAATGTGCTCTGTGGTTGCTAAATTTAATCCAAATAAACCTTCTTAGAAGCCTTCAAGCAGCAATACCCAGACTGTCTGTGACAATGTGAGTTAATGACTGGAGCTCAGCCATCCCAGAACTCCTTAAGCAGTTGTTTTGTGGCCAATGGCAATAGATACTTCTATGCGGTTTGTCATCCCTTCCGCTGTGTCCATCTCTTACTGCCTGACGTCTGGATTTCTCAGCACAGACGATGCTTAGCGTTCACAAATCAGTTGCATCAGAACTGCCAGGAGAAGGGGAACGGTGCTTGGGCTTGTTAGTTTTACAAAGTCTCAAATTTTTAATGTGATTCAAATCGAGTCCCTTGGAAACCACAAGATTTGCTGTGACGAGCAAATGGGCACGACCTGGATAATGATTCCCCCTGCCTGGTGCCCCGGCTACCTGCTGTCCTATACAAATAGCACACGGTTCTCAATCATTTGAGCTTCTGGAGTAGCTTAAAGGACAAAGAGGGCTTCTGTGCATTTGTTAGATGCAGGGTGAAGGTGTTGGCCCCCGCAAATGGATGCGGGTGTGTCGCAACATTCCTGAAAGAAAGCAGGAAGGGGGAGGGATTTTCTGAGTTGGAAAGGGGGTTTGGGCAGCAGTGTCTGGAAGTTTTTTTCTTCCCCTTCTGACCCTCCCATGCTCTTAGACTTCCGGTGATGCACATGGTCATCGGGGTACTTTCTGCCACCTCTTCTCTGTAAGACATGAACTCAACTTACTGAGAGAAGAAGGAAAAGGAAACTAACATTTATTTGATGGTCTACTCTTTGCTAGGGACTAAGCTACAGGCTGGTCCTTTTTGCCTGTAATGCTCTTTCGGTCTTTTCTCGTTAACTCTTTTTTTGTTTTGTTTTGTTTTAAGATTTTATTTATTTGTGAGAGAGAGCACGCGAGTGCACAAGCAGGGGGAGTAGCAGGCAGAAGGAGAAGCGGTAGGCAGAAGGAGAGGCGGCAGGCAGAAGGAGAAGCAGGCTCCCTGCTGAGCAAGGAGCCCGAGGCAGGACTCAATCCCAGGACCCTGCGATCATGACCTGAGCCAAAGGCAGACGCTTAACCGACTGAGCCACCCAGGCGCCCCTTTGTATTAACTCTTGATCATCTAAATCTTGGCTCAGAATTATCCCCTGAAGCTCTGCTTGACCCCCGAGGTTGGGATGTCAACCCAAACTCCTTTGTGCTCCTCTGTGCAACCCATACATACCTTTCTCCCCCTCTCCCCCCAGTGGCAACATTATACTGCAGTTATTTTCCTGTGTGTCTACATGAGGAAGGGTCATGGCTCATTCTCTTTTCTTCTCCGCACCTACCACAGTTCCTAATAGGAATTCAGCTATGTTGAATTGAACAAAGGTTGATTCCCTAAAACCACCTTATAGTGAATGTCCCTCGGGACCGAGGCACTCATTTCTCCACTTGCTGCGAGTGCTGTCTGCTATGGCTCCCAGTTGGGTCCCTCCCTAAGAACCGCCCTCAGCCAGATGGAGCTGGGGTGTCCAAAGTTCCAACCCTCCCCCGGGGGGCAGTCAATAGCCAATGGCTGGTCCACATGGTGGAGCAAAAGCCTGCACCCTTTACCTTCAAAGAGCCATCCCGACTTCAGAGCCCTTGTGGGCTTCTTAGAGGCTTCTGTTGTACCTGCTTCACTGCACACTCTCCCTCAGCCAGCCCTGCCCCCCCCCTCACTCCCTTCCAGGGGTGGTTTGGGAGGCACGCCTCAGTCAGCCTCCTGCACATGAATCTCCATTTCAGAGTCTATTCCTGGGGGAACCCAGATCACCAAAGGCTCATTGCTTCCAACCCCGTCTTCCCCTGTTGCCCTGTAACGCAGAATGCATTTTCCAGTGTTCTCCTTACCATTTGACATTAGAAGCAAGCGACCTTTCCTGGGGGTTTTTAATGCTTGCAACAGTGGAGAAATGCAGAGGACCTAAAAAGACTCCTTCCATGTGCCTTCGTTTCTTCCTGGAAAGATTTTGCATTTTCGCTCAGCCCTACTTTGTCTTCTCAGATAGGAGAAGGTCCTGAGAGACTCAGCCTTGACTAGGGGCCAAGACAGGGGGTGGGGAACATTTCTGAGGGTGTCATGTTTAACCTGGGGTCAAAAGGAGCCCTGTCCCTGAGCTGAAGCACAAAGGAGGGACATTTCAGGTAGCAGCAGGAATCAAATCGGGAAGTGCCTCAGAACTTGTGTGGCATTGGCTCAGTAACGACCATCCCTTTTCCACGGCTAGAAGTAAGGGAATGAAAACCAAGGGCCATCTGTATAATCAGAATTAAAAGGTTATTTGGTAAAATGCTTTTATTACCTTGATGCTGCTCTTCTTCCTATGCTTTCTTCCTTTTTCTAGTTGAAGCAGGTAGCCTTCGGAATTGCTACGACTAATTTTCATTTGGTTTCTTTGGCTTCTGTCCGAAATGAGCTGGGATTCACTTTCGACCCTTGACAATATAGGTGGAAATGTGACGCTGGATGAGGCCCCTTCCCTGGGCTGCACCTCGGTCAGCTGCATTAAGGCTTGCTGATGCTGCTCCATTATCTGAGTGAGCTGTGAGTCTGGAGAAGCTCTAACGAGTTGGCTGTCTGAGGAAGGATGGAATTTCCTGAATGGAAAAACACCCCACAAATCTGTTAAAAACTGATTACATAAGACTTTTAGCATAAGAGTCTTTATGAATTTGATGTATTCATTGTTCTCCAAATCAAATTAATGATCTTGAGCTTAATTTTTTTAAGAAAGATTTATTTATTTGAGAGAGAGAGAATCCAAAGCAGACTGTGCTGAGCGTAGAGCCTGACGCGGAGCTCGACCTCATGACCCTGAGATCGTCACCCAAGCAGAAACCAAAAGTCAGATGTTTAACTGACTGTGCCACCCAGGCTAGCCTAATCTTTTCATAAATACATTAATTTCTTAAAATCCTCCTAGTTTTCTTTAGGATAGTCTAGCTCTTATTTAGAACTTCCATTTAGTGCATTCAGAATAGAAAAAGAAAACACCCCTTTAAAAGTCCTTGCCACTATAAAATACCTGGAAATGTTGGATTACATTTAAACAGACATCCTTTTGAATACATAGGCAAATTTGTAAGAGAGGCAGGGAATCTTTGAGACCAAAACCAAAAAAGGAACAAAAGTAAAGCAGATTTTGGATGAGCTGAAGCTATGGCTTGCTTTGCGGGAGTTTTGGACCTATGGGCTTGAGTTCTAGCACTTCACTGTGCACAGGATATGTGAAATCTTGGCCCCGTGTCGGGTGAGAAATCAACTGAGATGCCTGCGTGAAGGCCTTGGAGAGCTACGTCCTTGATAAAAAGTTGGATTAGTGAATCAACAAAGCAAGCCCATCTGTCTTGGTCTAGGTTCTCAACTGGAAAAAAAATTCCTTATGAATTTCCATGGGACAGTGTTTGGTGTTCATATTTACCTTACCCACCTAGTCATGGATTCCAACACCAAAAAAAATGAAATAAAAATGATCCCGGAGGGGGATACCTCTGCATATCTGGCAGAAGCAAATATAAAAGTTCTCTGGAGGGATGCACTCCTTCTCAAGCCTGCCTAGGCATCTACAGACAAGATGGCTAAACATATATTCACAATCCAAAATCCTAGAATATATGAGGAAATAATCTACCAAGTAGAAGAGTCAGCAGACACAGGCATACACACAAGAAGCAGTGCTAGATTTCTAAGAACTTCTGATCATAGAATATTAGATAGCATTCTTAAAGCAAGCATGTTTAAAATGATTAAAGACCTGAAAGAAGAAATCAAAACCCTGAGAAACCTATTTTGAAAAAAGAACAGGAAGTCTTAATCAGAACCAAATAAAAATTCTAGACATGAAAAATATTATTGAAATTTACAACTCAGTGGATACATTAAAGCCATACTGGCTACAGCTGAAAAGAGTTATTGGGTTGGGAAACTTATGGGAGGAAATTTCTCAGAAACATGGATAGATAAATGATAGAAAATAAGAAACTGGATTAGAGACCTAGAGTCTAGAATAACAGATTTTAATATACATCTCTTTGGTGTTCCTGGAGGGAAAATAGGGTAAATAATATTTCATTAGATACGTAGCATTTCTTATGACTATTTCTTAATAAAGGGACATGGATGATAATTTTGTAGAATTTATGAAAGTGATGAATCCTCAGGTTTAGGAATCACAAGAAGGATTCAAGATTTCATACCTAGACCTAATACAGTGAAACTTCAGAACGCCAAGAACAGAGGGAGGGACCTTAAAAGATGAAAACAAAAGAAATATTGACAAAAAACTTTTCACACAAACCAGGAGATAGAAAAATGTTTTCAAAGAGTTTAACTCTTTACCAGGTTAAACTATAATTCAAGATAGAGCATAAAGGAATTTCAGGTAAATTTACCAGTGACCTACTCTTGTTGAAAAAATTTCCAAATAATATCTACTTCAGGAAGAAAGCACAAAATGGAAGAAAAACTGTGAGGCAAAGACATTAATAAACAGTTAAATTTAAAACATTGTATACAATAAGCAATAATTTTTGGAGATATAGGTGCTGGACAAAGTGCTGGACAAAAATACCAGAGGGCAACTGGATTAAAACAATCCAGCGATTCTGAATATGTCCTGGAGGAGAATAGAAATATCAACACTAGCCTAGTTAAGTTTTTTGAAAAATTAGTTGGATGGACCTAGAGGGCATTATGCTAAGTGAATTAAGCCTGACTGAGACAAATACCATATGATTCCACTCATAAATGAAATCTAAAAAAAAGAAGTAACAAGCAGAATCAGTCTTATAAATACAGAGAACAAATTGATGGTGGCCAGAGGGAAGGAGGTGGTAGGTTGGGCAAAATGGGTGAAGGAGAGAGGCTTCCACTTATGGAATTAATGTCACGGGAATAAAAGTCACAGCATAAGGAACATAGTCAGTGGTATCGTAATAGCAATGTAATGGGACAGATGATAGCTACACTTGTGAACATAGCATAATGTATAAACTTGTCAGATCACTGAGTTGTGATGGATCGTTGTCAACTATACTTAAAATAGGAAGATAATGTATATTTCCAAATCAGTAGAGGGAAAAAGTAACAAAACTCTATTAGTTCAATAGGAGACCTAGATATCTATATGTAGAGAGAGATATAATAAGCGTAGAAACAATAGGGTGATTGAAAGGACAAGTTAAGATGGTAGAAATAAATCCAAATAGGATTATCATAACAAATGTAAGTAGTTTAAAGTTGAAAATCCACTTGTGATAAAAGCTCTTTGCAAAAGGAATAGGAATAGGAGAAATTTCCTGTCCCTCCTCCCTGTCTACCAAAAGTTAAATATTTTTCATGATATAAATGTTACAAGCACTCCCTGTAAAGTCAGGAAAAAAAGACCAGGGTGCTTGCTATCTATCACAATCTCTTCCAGGAAGCTAAATCTGAATTTTATTGAATGTATGTTCTATACCTCCAAGTATAGCACTGAAATGTCTTCTCATCCCTTCAGATATGCAAAATTTCCTCCCTACTTTGAAAGTAAGCTCCTGGAAGGCACCTGTGCGTCATACTACTTTTGTATCTTCTATAGCATTTTAGCATTGGATTTAGTGCGTATCAGGTATGTGATAAACACATTTGATTGAACGACATCAGGAAATGTCCCCTGAGGTGATTTTTAAAATAACTTTTTTTCTGATTATAGAAGGAATACATCTACATTGCAGGGAACTTGGACAATTCAGAAAGTATGAAGGTGACATTAGAAACAACCCCAATGTCTCTTGCCAGAAATAACCACTATTGACATTTTGGTGCATTTTTCTTCCTTTGTGCATAGTTTTACATAGTAGAGCTCCTACTCCTTAGGTATATATTTGTAACTTACTGTTTTTTTTTTTTTATAGAAGTGTTTCCTCATAACAGTAACTTTTAACGGTTACATGACATTTAATACCATAATTTACCTAAACCTTTCCTTATTGCTGGATTATTGTCATTTTGATAAATGATGTTAGTTTTGTGCATACATATTTTTCTGTATTTTCGATTATTTCCTTAGGATAGGTCAATACAATGTTGGAGATAGTTTCCTCCAAACATTATTTGTAACCCTCAAAATAGACTGATCTTTTTTTAATGACCAGTCCCTCTGTCCTCCTTCCCTCCCTCCAACCTCTGGCTTAACTACAGTGGAAAAACTAGAGGAGACAAGGAAGAAGAAAAATACATTGAAGGTGGACTATTTGAGGCAGAAATCAGAGCCAACTCGGGCACCTGGGTGGCTCAGTCCATTAAGCGTCTGACTCTTGGTTTTGGCTCAGGTCATGATCTCAGTGTTGTGAGATCAAGCCCTGCACTGGGTTCCACACTCAGCGGGGAGTCTGCTTGAGATTCTCTCTCTCCCTCTCCCTGTGCCCCTCCCACCTTTCACACTTGCTGTGCGCTCTCTCTCTCTCTCAGATAAATAAATCATAAAAAAAAAAAAAAAGGAATCAGAGCCAAGGACCTTGTTAGGTTAAGTTTCCCTCTCCCCTGACAACCCCCATGACCTGCCCACCCCCCTATTCTCCCTCTCTCATTTCTCCTCTAAAAAAACACTTGAGAAAAGGGAATTCTTACCATAATATTTCTAAGTTCTTATATTTTGTCTCTGTGTAAGTCTGCTTGGGTTGTTTATTTTCCCTCGATCCATTAACATTTTTGTTAGGAATGGACTGGGAGCCCTTCTGGCTCAGGGGCACTTGTTTCTTAGTAAGCTCATTAAGGTAGTTCAAGTCCATATTGGAAAGAGTGTTGATGTGTAGCTGCTGATGTGACAGTCTTTTCTCTTCTTGGCCTTTATGTCCTCTTTCTTTCTTAACATTCATGGAGTGATATCCAGTAGAGTTTTTGTACAATACCTTATCAAGAGCCTGCTGTGGTGGAGCAAATTTATTGGAGGTTACTTTGGGCTCCTGGCTCCTAAGTGCACTTGAGTGTTGTAAATCATTGTTAGGCGCATTCATAATTCCGATTGTTTTGTGCTTTACTGAAGTGTCAGTAGGCTTATTTTGGTTTTGTTGCTGTCTGGGAGTGTTCTGGTTTCTGTGACTGACAGCCAGCTCTTCAGTCACCAAAGACTTCAGGCCATGCTGTTGTTTATGCTGGTTTCGAATCTTGTGATTGGCTGGTTTTCTGGAAGGTTGTTGGCCATTGGTTGTTTCAGAAGATTGACCTCTCGGTTCGCAGTTTGATTTTGCGCTTTCATATTGAGACAAGTGTTCCTGATAATTCTGAAAAGATATCTTTGGTTAATGTAAAGTCAGATGATTGGTATTCTTCATATTTTACCTTAGTATTTTTCACACTAGGGGTCACTTCTGGGAAGATGACCACAGAATTGAAAGGAGATAAAGAGTACAGTAGGTCCTTTCCTAATTTCAGGATATGAGAGTGATTAGCTGAGTAATTCCTCCTGGCAATTTCAGATTACGAATTTTCTAGAAAGAAGTAGAAAGCTTAGAATGGGCTTTATATTAAGGACAAGTCTTTGACATCAAATGTAAAATGAAGTGTTACCAAGTGCGGGGGGGGGGGGTTGGGAGGGGGAGGGGAAAGAGCTTTACCTCCACAGGGCTACATACAAAGGAAGTACAAATCTACATCAAAATATGCAAGTTTATTTTAACTAAAGTGAATATTTTTAAAAATCTTAACCAGAGAGGACATCAATGATCCGGTTTACCAACTAAGCACAAGTCAAATATGAGATACAATTTAGATGATCAGATCTTCTTACTCATATAGGTCAGAAGCTAGAAATGACCTCTTCACCAGATGAAACAAATTAGATTTTATTCAGAGGATTATAAAAGAGTCTGCACTGTGATAGGACATCTGTGAAACCACAAGGGTTGTTTTGCTTCAGTTCCTTAATATAGCCTGTACTTAGGCAATCAAACATCTGGGGGAAATATTTCAATTTCCGAACGGTCTTTATGCTTTTCAAAGTCTTGTAACAACAAAATGTACTCCTGGTATAATAGATACACTATGTAACTATATTGTGCTAAGCCATTTAGAAATAGTTTCCAAGGAATAAAGCACTCATTACTTTGTGAAAAACGAGCAGAGTTAAGAGGCCTTTGGAAAGAATGATTAAATGCTTAGTAAAAACAGTAATATGACCATATGCATCAGTGTGGTATATAACTGCAACATATTTTTTCTTTCTGAACACACTTATTAAAAAAACTCTACCTGTGCAATGTTAATTGAAAAATACCAGTTACCTGGGTCATTCAAGGAAAAAAAACAACCCTTAAAGTGAATAAATCATATTTCTGCTCAAATTGTTTTAGCTTGCCATGAAGAATGATCAAATTATTGCAATGAGTTCAACTTTTATTTCACTTTTCTGATCTAATTACTAAGACATCCTATTCCTGTATAATATTAAATGGTATTCTATTTCCAATGAAATTTCCCTATAATGATGAGATTGAGATTGTTAAAACAGTCCTAAATAATACTACTTTGCATTTCAGATTTTTAAGTATAAATGGCTTATCTGAAATTCAAAGCATGTTCGCCTTGCTTTCTGGAGGATTGGCCAGGTTCTGATGAGCTTGTCTACACTTTGAATTCTTACCTGTGGTACTCCAAAAAAGAAAAACTTCCTTTTCTGTATTTCAATTAAGAAAGGTTCTTTTTTCGGGGTGCCTAAGCATCTGCCTTTGGCTCAGCTCATGATCCCAGGGTCCTGGGCTTGAGCCCCACATTGGGCTCCTTGCTCCAGGGGAAGCCTGCTTCTCCCTCTCCCACTACCCCTGCTTGTGTTCCCTCTCTCGCTGTGTCTCTCTCTGTCAAATAAATAAAATCTTAAAAAAAAAAAAAAGAAAAAAAAAGTTTCTTCCTTCCATGCAGTATATGGAGCTGCCTGGGAGAGATGTGGGCAAGAAGGCTCTGCAAATAGACAGGCCAAGAGCATTCTTTCTTATAGTGGACCTAGAAGAAAACTGCTGTTGTACAATCTTATCAGGTGTGTTAATAAAACACAGTGGCTATTTTCATGGCCATCATCACTGTTCATGAAGGTAAAAAACAAACAAAAAAACCCATGTGCTACAATCTATAAATATTTATTGATTCTGATAATGTCATTTTATTTTATTATTTTTTAAAGATTTATTTATTTGAGAGAAAGAGAGTGCAGAAGCAGGGGGAGGAGCAGAGAGAGGGAGAAGAAGACCCCCCACTGAGCAGGGAGCTGGACATGGGGTTCGATCCCAGGACCCCGAGATCATGACCTGAGATGAAGGCAGACGCTTAACCAACTGAGCCACACTGGCACCCCTGATAATGTCATTTAAGGGCACCTGGGTGGCTCAGTCAGTTGAGCATCTGACTCTTGGTTTCAGCTCAGGTCATGATCTCGGGGTCCTGAGATCAAGCCACACATTGGGCTCCACACTCAGCGTGGTGTCTGCTTGAGATGCTTTTTTCCTCTGCCTCTCCCCCCACTCGTGCTCGCGTGCTCTCTCTCTCTCTTTCAATAACTAAAGTCTCGAAAAATAAAAATAAAAAATATCTGTCAGCCTTTTAATTGCTAGAAAAAGAGTGAACAGGAGCTTTTTCTGCTCCTATCCGACCATACATGTCCCAGTTCTCTGTGTTCATTCCCACCAACAAAGAAAAAAAAAGCTATGAGGAATTTTTTCCTTAGGGTACCGGACCCGAAATCTTGGGTTACCACTTGGTTTTAATCATGTTATACCTTTGCAGCTGACAATTCAGATTACAATAGTACTCTTCACAGGGTGCTTTGTCAACAAGGCCAAGGACTCATCATTTTATGAAACTTCAATAGTCTCAAGTGTTAAATCCGCTATTCACAGAAATGTAAGTGCCCAGAGATGGCATTTCAGTCCCCAGAAAGGAAGACATTTACGGGCTTGCTGTGATTTCTCTCACCTTCTGAGCAGACTACTTGAGATCTGTGGTTTACTGAAGATTTATTACCCGACAATTGAGACATCAGGTGTCACTTTTTAGGTCGCAAGACCTGAGTTCCCTCAAGTTAATATACAAAGCCATTCTCAGGCTACTTAATCTCCACCAGCACTGAAATCCTCTATTCCATCCTGCTCTCAATGGGGTTCTTTTGTTACCAATACTCACAATCAGTCCATACTCCATGCACTAAGAATAACTGCTTAATGGCACTGGGTTTTCCCAGCACACACACAGCAGTGGCCATTGGTACAGCGTTCACATTGGGGAATCCTGATGCCTAATGCGGGGATGATAATTTCTTAGTAAGATCTGTACTTAGTTATTAATGTTCTTTCATACCGTGCCATCCAAGGGTAGTTTGCCCCCAACCCTGTGAAAGGCAGTGTCTGGCTGTTTCTCTTTCATGGCTTTCAGGTTTACAAGCTATAAGCAGAGGGGAGGATGCATGCTCTGTCTCAACCAAAGGTTCATCTGCTTTAAAACAAAAGTCATTCTTGCTGTTACCCTGATCAACCCTGAGGGTTGTGCCTGGGCTCCGAGATCAGCTCTGACATAGAGATGTGTCTGTTGTGTTCATTAACAATAAAACACAAATACTTTGAGCAGGGGTTATCAATTCCATCTGATAATATTAAGAACATTTAGAGCACATGCATTAACTGGCTCCCATTTTTAGCATCAGTAAGGGAGGACTCTACGTTCAGATGAATAAAAGGAGCATAGCTCTCTTGATGGTGTTGGAGGCAAAACCAAAATAATAGCTCTTATATTCTTATAATAAGAGGTAACGTGGGAAGAGGACTTACGATGTGATTATAAGGACTTTGATATCAATTAGTCAAAGATCCTACATACCTTTCACCCTGTCATGCCTTTGCCTTGCCTAGAAATTCAAGAGTTATTTTAGAGTGGCAAGAAAGGAAACATCCTATTTCATTTTTTCAAAGTTTCACTTAACTGGAGAAGTTTCTATTTTTTTCCTATTGACCTGTGCCTGGGAAGGCTCTTCTGCTATTGGGAATGTGCTCACTTGCACAATCTGGCAAAGGTCAGACCCTTAGCTAAGTACTGGGTCCAGTTCTGGCTACACAGCGGAACTAAGATTTGGAAAAGCCATTAAGGTTCATAGGGGAGCACGGAATGATCCAGGACAAGACCTATGTGGAAAGGTAAAGTGAAGGGGGATGACTGGGTTTAAAGTAAAGCCCTTTGCACGAGTAGGACTTTCCATAGAAAGGGATGATGATGAACATCAGTTGTCAGTATTTTAAAAGTGAAGATGCATAGGCTTAAATGGTCTCAGGGGCTTTGTTTCTGACATATCTTCTTTGTTTCCTTGCCCTGTCTCTGGTTTCTCCACGTTGCAGCTTGTGAATGTACTTCTGTCTCTTTTATGAACAAAAAAAATGCAAGAATCCCTCACTTGATCTCATTCTCCAGTTAAACCTCATCTCTTAATCCCGTGAGGAGTCTTGCAGGTGTAGGCTGCACTGGCCTTCCTTTTCCCTCTCTGGTTGTGACCTCTACACCCTGCAAGAGAGCACAGATTCTCACCACCCCACCCACACTGCTCTGCTCAGCCCACCGGTAACCTCTCCCTTGCAAAATCCTCTGGGCACCATTTTCTTTACCTTTTCATTTTTTCAAACTAACAAAATTATTTCAAACTTACAGGAAAATTGCAAGAATAGCATGGAGAACTCCCAAATATTCTTACTGAGAATATTTGTGAATATAATGTGCCAATTTCATCTTTCTCTGCGTGTCTCTCCACATACAGATAGATGGACACGCAAATATACATCATTTCTGTGACTACCGTGTGCATTATGGCTACTTAGTTTTTTTTTTTTTTCTGAATCCTTTGAGACTAGCATGTATGAGTTGCATGTATCATTCCCTTTTCATGGCACCTTTTTAAGTAAAAACTAAAAAACTCTTTCCTGCAGAGCTTGATCCTGTCCACTGATGTCTCTTTCTTGAGATTTTTCAGGTCTCGACTTCTGTGACACTATTTTAGCCTGGCGGCCTTCTACCTCTCTGGCAAGCCCTTCATAGTCTCTCACCTTCTGCTCTCTTCCTCTGCTTACCCTTAAAATTTAACCCTATTCTACCGGGCGCTGTTCTTGACCCTCTTCTCTTCTTCCACTACCTTCGATTCCTGGGGCACCTCGGCAATTCCTACAGCTTCAGTCCACCAGGGAGTGGATTCTTAAGATCAAATGTATGATGCTAACTCAGATGTCTCTCCTGAGTCCTATGCTCAGATCACATTCTTCCTCCACACTCGACATCAGGCTCACCATCCCCGTGTTCTCGTGCCCTTTCCCCGCTCCACCCCAGCACGAGAGCCCTTCTTTTCTATCTCAGTGGTATTAGTACTGCTAATCCGACACTTGGAAGCCAGTCTCTTTCTCCCTCCCCCATTTCCCTTGTATTCAAACAATTGCAGAATTTGTTAATCTCCCTCCTTGACCGACTCTAGGCAGGCGCTGAGGGGGCTGCTCTGAACTGCAGGAAGTTTCATCCAGTTGGTGGATTTGGCTCTGTCCCCCATACCAAAAAGTGAGTGAATGGTGTGTGGAGTGTGAGACAGGCTGTGGTGGTTTTGCTGTCTCTGAAATCTTATTTCCTTCCAGTCTATTCTCCAGACCCTGGTTAGAATGAATTTTCTACCACGTTCAGCCTGATCATGTCATTAACCTGCTTAAAATTTGCCTGTGGCTTCCTGCCATTTGCAGGATGAAATCTGAAACCTTTTGGCCGACATGAAAGCCTTCCAGGACCCCTACCTCTAGTTACCTAACCTGCCCGTGTCACACCATTTCCCTCCCTCACACATGCTCCCCCAGTTGCTGAGCTGTGCGTGAGGCTGAGGATATACCACGTCTCTCATGCTCTCAAACCTCTGCTCCCATTTGTCGGTTTGCCATATTTTGATTCATCCTTCTAGGGTCTGTTCAAATGCTGTTTCTTTTCAGGAGACTTTTCTTGCCTTTTAAGGCAGAATTAGGTGCTCCTTTCATTCCTACTGCATGTTGAACCTACGTTCCTATTATTGCATTATAATGATCACATAACTGTCTTCCAACTAAAGTTTTGGGCTCGTTGAGGGTAGGGATCATTTTTTAAAAAAGATCTTTTATTACTTTTTTTTTTTCTTTTGAAGCATGTTTTTTGGGCCAGACCCCTGACCCTGAGTGCCTGGAATATAGTAGGTACTCAAATATTTGCTGTGGGAATTATTTTGATTTCATGTAAAGACATTTCTTATTAGTGGGAGCTATTCATTGTCAGAGTAGGTCTACTGAGGGATATGTAGAGTCTTCTGAAGTTATCTTTCAAGAAAAGAAATTTCAGAGAGGCCCATTTTCACAAAATGATTTTTACATGTTTCTGTAACCAACCAGTAAATATTTACTGAGTGTTTGCTTTGGACAAAGCACTGTGCTAACAGATGTAGAGAAACATACAATCTTAATGTTCTTGCAGCTTCTAGTGTACTTGGTACAAAAGGAATACAGGCAGCAGCTAATGAGATGCAGCCAAATGATAAGCCCTGAGGGAGTGGTCCAGACCACAGGCGCAGTCGCAGAGTGAGGGGGCAGAGGATGGGGTGGGAGAGGCTGGGAAATCCTCATGCAGGACGGGGAATCAGAAAGAAAGCACTGGATTTGGGTAGCTGAATCGGAAAAAGAAAGGCAACTTGGAGCTGAGTGCCTGCCTTGCTGGTGTGTAGGATACAGCGGGGAGTTAACAAATCCTTTCTAAATAAAGAAAGGGAAGCATCCCATGGACCACTCTGCGTTGATCGTTTTAGGTCTAATGATTTTATGTTTGGCTCCTCTTTGTCCTCATTCAGGAGTGGGTTATAAACAAATAAGTTCTAGTATACACAGAGAACACACAGCATTCTTTTCGCTTTTTTCCGATTTTCTTCCATACAAGATTTTTGACTGCCTCTGTCAAAGGCTATGCCACGAATCAAGCCCTTGTGATTATTTATTTTATCATTGGCTTTGGTCCTATAATATTCTGTAGTGATGATCATGGAAACTCGAGGTTGCAAGAATCTTATGTGCTTCAAATAGGTTTTCTATAATAATTTAACTAGAGAAAAATATGCTAGCATAATATCATTTTGCTACTGGGATGCATCTCGTAGTTCATTTTGGGCAACTCTTTATTTAATAAGGAAGAAACTTAAGGCTTGGGGGGAGTTGAGATTTGCCCAAAGTTCCGCATCAACTAAAAGACAGGGGAAAGTCCAGAAATCCGTGTCTTCTGACCCAGTCCATTATCTGTAACACGTGACAAAACTTTAAGGCGTTTCCCTTGTCTTTCCATCCTGTTGGCCAAGCTCCCCGGGCTCTCACAGAGGTCTAGTGTAGACCCTGTCTGCTACATCCCGTTGCCATGGACATTTCAGTGCCTCTTAACCTCTGGGTGTGATCCCTCTGGCACCAGCTTTCAGGAAGCTCTGGGTGAATGACTGTTTTTATTTTTTATTATTTATTTATTTATTTTTGCAACTCTGAGAGGGACCTGGAAGCCACTGTGAAGGAAAGATGATGATTTAGGTGGTCCCTCTTTTCTAAATTCTCTGAAACTGGAATGAACTTTATTTTTATTATTATACCTTTAGCCCTGTACATATTTTGAACTGATGATGTCAGTAGGCTTTCTAGGCTGTGTGATTTCACAGGGCTCACCCTCCTTCAGCAGGGATAGAATCTGGTGTAAGACTGCTCCAGAGAACTCTGTACACTGGTTTCAGAAGAAACCATCTGCTAGTGCTTTTCCTCTTCTAGAGAAACGGTCAAGGGGACTATTTTGCAAAAGTCTTCCCTAAAATCATATTATGATGTCAGAGTAGTAAACCCAGGGCCAGAAAAGGATGTTTTCATGCTAAATTACTGGTTAGTTGTCTTTCCCTTCCTGCAAATGAGGGTTAAATGAGGCTCTGGGGATTTCTGCCCAATTTTAGGGATCGTGTTCCCCATCAGCTAGGGATGCTGTGACTACCAGCTCCATAAGGAAACAGACTTGGGAGCAGTGCAGATTTGGACAATATTTTACAACTGTGATCCTACCCCCACATACTTTCTCCATGCTTTTCTTCTGTTTGGGGTGATGAGATGATTTTCTTCTAGGAAATTTAGAACCTTTGGAAACATGGGTAGACTTGGTTGGCTAAGCAAGCAATGGCCCATCTGGGCAGAAACCAGTCTTACTCTTAGAAGGGTGGGTCACTACTCTCGGGCATAGGAATAAACCTGTAAGTGATAAGAAGTGAGTCGTGAACATTACTTATATTTAGCAGTAACCCTTGAAACCCATTTAAAGTTCAATCTAGCAGGTAACCTTTAGCTGTTGGGCTCTTTGATGCCATTTGTCTTCAGGATTGATGGCAGCATTTTCAATCTCTTTGGTGGTCTGAATGGACGTCTTGTCAGTTACACTGATGGGGTAGGAGATCTAAGAGGGTAAAACATATAAAGCGTGTTAATGGGATTCGTTTTAAGTCTTAGAGCCACAAGGCTCATCTGTGTACTCTAGAAAGAGGTCCTGCAGGGCTATGTTTTATTTTCAGTTCAAGGATATATCTTCATCCTCAGGGACCTGGATTGTTCCTAAGGAAAACGGGAATAAATAATGTTTTCTCTCACAGGCTTGATGTGAGAATTGGTGCTTTGAGGTCAAACTACTATTTACTTTAAATGTTCAATACACACTCAGGGGACCCAATTTTAGAACAGTTATCTGAACCGGATGTAGCAACTAATGTTGAGTATATTAAATGAAATAATGAATAGTGAAATAACACCATGCTTCAAGATGATGATAATAATAGAAATAACAATATTTAATATACAGTGAATGTTCATGGTGTGCTAGTAGCTGTCCTAAGCATTTAGCGTATATTCTATCAGTTATACTATATTAAACCTTATCGGGTATGTACTATTACCCCCTTCTTGCAGATGAGAAAATTGAGGGACAGAGACATTAAGTAACTTGCCCAGAATCTATAGCTGGTAAGTGGAGGAGCCGGGCAGTCTAACTCCAGAGTCTCATATTCAGCAATTTTGAAATATCATCTTTGACTTGCAGAATTTGTAATGTTGGCATTCAGTGAATTTGAATGATGTAGATCAGAGGTTCTCAACTTTAGTTGGATGTTAGAATGACAAAATATCAGTGCCCTGGTCCCATCCCAGATCGATTAAATCAGAAGCTCTGGGGTGGTCCCAGATAGCATTATACTTTATTTTTTTTTAAGATTTTATTTATTTGGGAGAGAGAGATAGCAAGAGAGAGCACAAGCGGGGGTGAAGGAGGAGAGGGAGAGGCAGGCTCCCCGCTGAGCAGGGAGCCCAATGCAGGGCTCCATCCCAGAACCCTGGGATTATGACCTGAGCCGAAGGCAGACGCTTAACGACTGAGCCACCCAGGTGCCCCTAGCATTACACTTTAAAAGTTCCCCAGGTGGGTCTACTCTGGAGCAAGGTTTGGGAACCACAGACAAAGGCAGCTACATGGGATTTGGGTCCCCAAATTATGGAGGCCCTTCATTGCCTCCATTAGCTACCTATTTTAATTTACTTTTAAAGTTTATTTTTCAGTAATCTCTACACCCATTCTGGGGTTCAAACTCATAAACCCGAGATCAAGAGTCATTTGCTCTCTCTACTGAGCCAGTCAGGTACCCCGCTACCTATTTTAAATCAAGAAATTAGATTGTCTCTATGCTCTAGAGAATTCTAGCTACCAGGAAGCATTTCAGAAAGCAAACCTAAAGTTATACAGCCTTAATGTTGGTCAAAGGATCTGGAGGTAATCCAGTATAACTGCTTAGTACTTCTGTACCATCCCTGGTAGATACTCATCCACTTGCCTAAACTCATGCCCTTTCTCCTGGCAGGAGTCACCTGTTTATGTCCTATGGGCTGAGGAGGGAGCATAAGGTGGCTTGTGAATACTCCCTTTCTGTGGGAGACCTGGTCCTTTCAACCATCACATGGAATAAAACGTTAGCTCTCTTAATCTCTGTTTCATGGATGATAAACATACTGTTGCATCATTGAACCACCTAAAAGTTCTTCCTATGAGAGCAGAAATATATCTTCCTGTAATTTCTATCCCTCTGCCCTCTGAAATAATGGATTAAGTCGATTAATCTCTCTCTCAGACAATAGCCCTAAATGTTAGCCACTGATTGTGATGCCTTTGCTAAACCTCTTATTTACAGGATCTGTGGCAAGATTTCTTTGCCATTCCTCCAGGGACGGGTTACCCAGGTTGGCTTATTTGGTTATTGTGCTTTGTGGCTTGTAAAGGTTGACTTCCCCCTTTCTAAACTGCTGTAACTAATTTTTAGATTTAGATTCTGATTTTACACTTGTTTTATTAAATTGAACCTGGTGGGCTGTGTCGTGTGAGAAGCAGCAAGCTATGTAATGCTGGGAAAAGCATGGGATTTAGAATCTGTCATTTTGTTAAAATAAGATTTTATTTATTTATTGAGAGAGCGAGAGTGAGAGAGCACAAGCAGGGGGAGCAGCAGAGGGAGAGGGAGAAGCAGGCTCCCCACTGAGCAAGGATCCCAGGATCATGACCTGAGCCGAAGGCAGATGCTTAACTGACTGAGCCTCCCAGGAGCCCCCAGAATCTGTCATGTTTGTGTTCAGATTCTCCTGCTGCTCCTTACTTTGACTTTGCATTTATGCAGACTGCTGTTCAAATGAGAAAGAGGGGGAAATATTTGTTAAATATTAATAAGTCAGTGTCTGACAATAAAGATAACCTCATTCCTCACTGTTCAATGCAGCTTCTGTGGCCACATGCAAGACAACATTTATTTTGGGTGAACTCTTATCTCTACCTGGATGCAGACCTGTCGTTGTTACTGTACTCATATACTTAACAGCAATCAGATGGTATGGAAGTGAGATACTTAAAGGTTGATCTGAGAATGGGAAAAAATGAAAATAAGACTTCTTCATGCTTGAATCATCATGGCAAATACAGAAGCTAAATGTGCTTTTGGATCATGGGATCAAATGAAATTGCATTTTGAGCATCATAAGCTGTGTAATGTCTATTCAATGTCTACAAATAGGAGTACTCAGGGCGCCTGGGTGGCTCAGTCGTTAACTGTCTGCCTTTGGCTCAGGTCATGGGATCAAGCCCCACATTGGGCTCCCTGTGCAGCAAGGAGTCTGCTTCTCCCTCTGCCTGCTGCTCCCCCTGCTCGTGCTTTCTCTCTCTCTCTAATAAATAAATAAAATCTTAAAAAGCAAATAGGAGTACTCAACAGATTTTGAAAGATTACCTACTCTGCAGAAGGAAAACTTCCCAACACCATGAAACAGTCTAACTTGCTCTGAAATAGAAAGTTTAGGATTATAAATGCTGCCACCGAAGGTCAGGAACTGTGAGTCTTGATGGCATCTCTCAGTCCCTCTCCTGGCACCAGTTTAGGAAACAAGAGAGGTCTATAAAAGTATCAGGTTTCATAATTTTGGTCGCTGTTATTCCAAAGGTTTCTATCCCTTATGGCCATGATGTTAAAAGGAAACACCCCTCATTTACAAGTAAAATCATCTCTTTCCTGGACAAGAAATGAAGGCTGAGTTGGGGGGAGAAATCTAAATAGGCTGCCTAAGCAGGCGAGGAAATAATCCTTTTTCAAATCTCAAACAGGTGATGTCTTGGACAAAAATGTTATCTGGAGCTTGGGAGGAAAAAATTGGGTTGATTCCTAGATCCGCCACTAGGATGTTCGATTCCCTGGCTTTTGTAAAGGAGACTTGGTTTAGTTAATTCAGTCTGTCACTGGTGATTCTGTGACCCGGGATGGGATCCCTTACACACAGCTCTGGTAAAAAGTTTCCAAATTACAAATGCATTGTCCTATGCTTCCTTCCCCAGAGAGTGTAGGATGTGCAGTATTTCCATCCACAGGCTGTTTTGGTGGAACTCGGTGTCTGAATCACCCCAGTGAGAGCCTCAGGGCAAGTAAAGCATACTTCTACATTATCTCTTTGAAAGTGGAATGGGACACAACCTCTGCCAGCTATTTTTTTTTTTTTTTGTGAACCATTCTATTAATACCAATCAAATCGAGAAAATGATCAAATGAAATTGCATTTTGAGCATCATAAGCTGTGTAATGTCTATTCTGTTAAATTGGGGCCTATAATTGCTTCTCTACTGAAAAGATACAACAAAGACAGCAATCATGGCATGTCATTATCCCAGACTAGAAAACCGGCCTTTGCTGGGAGGACTTCAAAGGCTTGTGGTTCTCGAATTGCATTTGGCTGCTATTGATGAAACGCGGGCAATCCTGATTAGGTGTTTACACTGAGGTAAGGCGCAGAGCAGAGAGCCTGAGTGCCTGGGTCTAGAGCCATTAAAAAATTGTACATTATGTTCCTTGCTTTGAAGTGAGGGTTTGTAGGAAGGAAAGCAACTCAGATTGAGTACAGCTGAGCTAGATTGGGCTGCTACTTCTTTCTCAAAGAAACTCGTCAGGTTCTTAGAGAATCGGCACCACACAAAAAAAGTTGAGGCTTTACACCAAGAGCTATATGTGAATTAGTGTCTCTGCACAGACACACACTGAAACATGTTTTGAAAGCATATTATCCTTAAGTTCCGCAATCACTGCAAGTTTTGCTTCTTTATTCCTTGATACTGTTTTCTTTTTTTATCACTGACGTCATGCAGAACCGCACAATTAACCTATCAGTTTCCTTGTTATTCCCTGATGGTATTAACTAGCACATAGCCAAATCAAAATAAGACAAAGAGTCTTAATTTTTTTTATTTTTAATGTCATATTTGCTTACCATCCCTCCAGCACATCTGTTACTTAATCCCTCTCTTCAGGACCGAGTCACTGGATTCCGCAAGCATTGGTGAACTTGGCGAACGAGTGATCTGCTGTGTTAACTCTGTTCTATTTCTGATGCATTGTGCTCTGTGGGAGCGCAAGCCCGCTAGCATCTCTCTCTCTCTCTCTCTCTCTCTCTCTCTCTCTCTCTCTCTCGATATGTGGCCGGCAGAAGAGGTGGAGGCATGGTGGCGCCGAGAGCCCGCCATTGTCAGGCTCCAACGCGGCTATTTTGCACAGCTGTTTGAATTATCTGGGGATTTGTATTCGTGATTCAGCTATTTAGAGACAAAACACACAAACTCTTTTGGCTCTGCTGTTGTCCACTTTCTCCATTCCCGCAGAACCCTTCATAATGCATTTCACACGCAGGTGCTCAATCAGAATGTGATGACATTGGAACCTTTGGAGATACTACTTTTTTGCATTCATTTTCTGTATAAGATCCTGCAGCTTTTAAAACCCCCAAACTAATTATGCCAGCCAGCGCTTTAAAACCCTTCAGTGCTTCCCCATTGCCCTTAATCTTTAAAGGTTTTAAAGGCCCTGCCTTCTGTACTTCTCATTCTTTTCACCT